GGGGGGGGGGGAGGTACAGCGAAACGCGCAAAAAGTAAAATTAACATGAAGGAGACCAAATGTTCGATCTCTCTCTTGAAACTATTAGGACGATATTTTGAGAGTCCTACGGAAAAAATATGAAAATTCAAAGCAAGTCTGTTTCTGTGTCTTAAAATATCGCCTGAACTAAAGGCAAGATTAAGCTCTCGAACCTTTCATTAATGTAATGACACATTTTCCTCTTATTTAGAACTAATTATGATAGCATTGACGTGATGACATTGTTTCTTCTCATCTAGAATTAATGTTAGTACGTGATGATGACAATGTTTCTTCTTATCTAGAATTAATGTTAGTACGTGATGATGACATTGTTTCTTCACATCTAGAATTAATGCTAGAACGTGATAATAACATTGTTTCATCTCATCTAGAATTAATGCTAGTACGTGACGATAATGTTTCTTCTCATCTAGAATTAATGTTAGTACGTGATGACAATGTTTCTTCTCATCTAGAATTAATGTTAGTACGTGATGACAATGTTTCTTCTTATCTAGAATTAATGCTAGTACTTGACGACAATGTTTCTTCTCATCTAGAATTAATGTTAGTACGTGATGACAATGTTTCTTCTTATCTAGAATTAATGTTAGTACGTGATGATGGCATTTGTTTCTTCTTATATAGAACTGGTACTTGTTGTGAACGTGGAGACGACTGAATATTTAGAGCCAGATCGAGATGCCGCTATACTTGTCACTTTCCACAGTCCTGAGGTGTATCCCGATCCCTTCTCTGATGGGACAGAAGTGAAGCCAGGAAACGCCTACAATTTCGGATTAAAAAAGGTATTTTGCATGCTTCCCTTAGATATAGCACAATCGGTTTTTACTTATGTTATGGCCTGTACTAAATGGATGGGCTGCAAGTGGAATTAATTTCACGATCTCTAACATATTGGAAATCAGTTAAAAATCAAAATAAAATAAGAATAGAATTTTTGTCGCTTAAAACGTACAAAATTTGTTTATACTGAGAATTCCAATGTATTTACAGTGCAACAATCAAAAAGAAGAAAAAAAGCTGAACACCATTTCAGATGATATTGTTTCTTGCTTAACTAACTAAAGTGATCATCAACCATTCTTCATACTGTTTGACCATCACGAGATGAGACCTGATATCAGGCTATATTCCTGAATTGTGTCGCTTCCTCTTTTAATAAGAAGCTTGACAGCCCAGTGGTTAGAAAATGGGTCGGGGTTCTATTCTCGATCCTGCTAAAGATCCACCGTGGTATGCATGCTCAAAAAATCTGTCGTCCCACGGTCGATCACTGAGCAGTACCATGGGTGCAGAGATCTAAAATTTCCCACTTCAGATCTATGTCTAAATTGAGGCCACACAAATTGTGATGGCAAGTCTTCAGATCATCCAGAAGGATGTTTCCCACACAGTCGCCAATAGCCCATTATGCTGCTCTAGTGCGACTTAAATAAATTACTTAACTATAGTTTGTCTATGTAAAAACTTCCCCTAGCCATTCGTCTGGAGAAACGGCAGTGACAATGGTTACAAGGTTTTGCCATTATTCAAGACAGGGTTTGGTTTGTTGGGTCTTTATTTAAGACATGGTTTAGTTCGATGAGAGAAGTTGTAGTTATAGTTCATCTACGTCACACTAGAGCTGCACTATGAGCTATTGGCGACGGTGTGGGAAACATCCCTGAGGATGACTCAAAGACATGCCATCGCAGTTTTGATCCTCTGCAGAAGGGATGGCTCCCCTGCTTTGGTAGCCCGATGACCTTCTCGAGAAATCGATCACTTAGCGGTAGAAACGCGGTCCGATAGCACGCATCCTCGGTCCCTACGCAGGCTCATCAAAGTGGTCACCCACCCGCTTACTAACCGCAGCCAGTGATCTACTGGGAACTGTGTCTTTACGATCAGTTCACTGTGAGACATATCATGAGAAAAGTCATAACATAAATTCTTCGATACAGTTTCTTATAAAACTAAAATTTATTAAGGAATATAAAATTTTAGGAATATTCATATTTTTTTAAACTTACGTTAAGTTTTAGTTTTTTAATCTAATTTTATAAGAATAATTAGATAGCCCCAGCGAGTGGTGAAAAAAATTATCTAGGTTCGATCTTAATTGAATAAATATCACCATTTTCATTTAATAAATATTTAATACAAGGTGGCTTCGATTTTGAATGTTAAATTTTTGTAACTTCATTCCTAATAGCAATTTATAATTTTATATATTTTAAATTTTTATAATTATTTATAATTTTTCAAATAATTTTATTGTTGTAATACTTTTCTGCCGCCTTATAGTTTATACTAAAAGTTATAGGGTAGAGTCGGGTGGCCCCGCCCACTCAAGGAGTATTGCTTATATTTCTGTATAATATTGAGTAATAATCAATATTTTTGAATTTTTCTACTGTTTTATCATCTAATTAAATAATGCAAAAAGAATAAACCAAAAAAAGAATAGTTTAACTTTAAAAAATAGATATTTTAAAAAAACATGTTTTTCAGCTCTTTTCAAAATGTGTCGGGTAGTCACGCCCAGTTACAAAAATTATGTTTCTTGACTGTTTTTTCAGGTGTAAATGAAAATGACCAATGTATTGACAATAGATAAACCTCATTTATCATTTTTATCACAAAATTATTTTATTTATTACATATTTATATACTTTTAGTGAATTCTATCATTTAATAACAATCATTTAATAACAACAATATTTGTTGTTAAAAATGCATATAACATTCAAATTTGAAGCAATAAAATAATAATCTTTGCAACCGTACATTTATCGACGAAATAAAATTGGGCGGTGATACCCGACATTCATGTGAGCGGGGCTACCCGAAATCCAATTTTTTTGTAAATTTGTAATTACTCGAACAATTTTTCACATATAAACTTCTTTCTTTGTGCAAATTAAACTTAAGACTACATACTTTAATGCTGCATGTATAGAAAAAATTATTTTTTTAGTATTAAAATGAAGTTTAATCGAAACATTCAACCAATTTTTCTTAATTTCATGACTACTGTATTCAATATATTTTCAAAACTATTGTTTAACATGTTACCCAGCTGCATAAATACTTGAAACTTTGAAAATAATCTTTTTTTAAAATAACAATTAATGTCTGATGGCCCATTGACTTGTGATCCGAATATAGTGAACCGAAATTTTGGTCCCATGAAAGTTCATTATATCCGGGTTTGACTGTAATTGTGTTCAAAACTTTCCGATTTTTTTCATTAGTTTTGGAAATACCTGTAGGACAAAATGCACTAAAACTGAAATTGATATTGAGGGGCCCCCAAATTATTGGGAGGGTTTTTCCAAATTGTGTTTATACCCTCGATATTGAGGGTGAATAATCTAAATGCATCAGTAAAAAATATTTTTTTATCTAAAGATAAATTATGTTTTTGTAATTAAAAATGTTATTCGCACACATTAATTAGCATATTTAAAGTTAAATCCTCGAATCATTAAGGTTAAGTCGAATTTTAAAGAATTCGTTTATTAAAAATTCGATTTCTGAGGAATTATTCGATTGATTCCCTTCACATTGCATATTTTGCCATATAGAATTACTTTCTTTAAAATGTTGTCAAAATTTGTGTGCCTAAATAATTGCGGACGATTACAAAAATTCTATTCGTATGAAATTGACAGTGGGCGGGGGTACCCGACACTCCCCTATAAGAATTTCTTTATTTCCTTATAAATGTTTTTAATACTAGTTTTAATCTATTTCTATTTGCTTAATTGAAAGAAAGCCTAATCTGAGTATTCAAAAAAAAATTTGTTTTTAAAATACGTTTTCAGAATTATAAATGAACAATTTATTCATACATTTTCTCTGTTTACCGTAAGAATGGCAATGGTTCAAGTGAGAAAAATGTGTGAAATTTTATTTAAATAATATTATTATTTTCTTTAATAGTATATACTGCAATTTATGTTATGTGAAAGTTGAAGCAGAATACATTATTGTTTTTTTTACATGATTTTATTTTTAAAAATTTTTTTAATGAACTGAATGAGAATTTAAAGAAGGTAAAACGTATTTTTAATAATATTTAAATTGCATTGATAATTTTTGAATTAAATATTCTACCCAGATGCTATTTATATTTATCATAATAAAGTAACATTAACAAGAACCTTAATATGAAATTATATGTAAATAATTTATAACAGCATTCAAAGAGTTACAGCGAATTAAAAATATGGCGAGAATCTATGAGTAGGTGACGTCATAAAGCGTGGTGAAGAACAGATGGGGAAAATTTTCCTAGGAATAGGATTTTCTGCGATCAAAGTTTGTTTAGTGAAGAGTATATATATTAGAAGAGTATATGTATGTATATTGTTGTTGTTGTTGTTAATTTACGTCGCACTAGAGCTGCACAATGGGCTATTGGCGACGGTCTGGGAAACATCCCGAAGGATGATCCGAAGACATGCCATCACAATTTTGATCCTCTGCGGAGGGGATGGCACCCCCGCTTCGGTAGCCCGACGACCTGCGCGCGAAGTCGAGCACTTTACGGTAGCACAGTTTAACGAGGACCAATACCGCACACCCTCGGTCCCTACGCAGACTGATCCAAGTGGTCACTCACCCGCACACTGACCGTAGCCAGTGATGCTTGATTTCGGTGATGGGAGCCGTGTCTTAACAATTAGTCCACTGCGGGACATATATATATATATATATTTGCCGGAATTTTTTCGCGTACTAGGATAACATCTTAATGGTTCGAAAAAAACAGCTTTAAATTCATTTGTGCAGACAATATTTCAACTTATAAAATCATCAGAGATAATTTTTTTGAACAATTTTTATTCCGTAGTTATTTGGCCCTTAAATTCAAGGGCAATCTGTAAAATATTGCACCAACAGGCAAGTCTCTGCCCTTTAATGCATTACCTCATTTATCTAATTTTTTAAGCGAATCAAAAAAGTTTTGCGCAAAAATCTAAAACTCCAAAATAATATGCAGCATAAAATATGATTTTTAAAAAAGATCATTTTGTAAAAATATATGAGACTAGCACCACTCAAAGTAATCTTTTACAAGTATATATATATATATGTAACTTACTATTTTCCAATCTTTAAAATACCAATAGAGGTGGGAGAGAATTTTGCCATGAAAAATTCCCCCCATGGTATAGCGTCCTTTTGATTAGACTAGCTGTTTGTGGGGTACTTGGGATTTTTAGTTTAATAAGATTGACCCTATAAATTTGGATAATATGTTTGAAATATTTAATCCACAGAATACAGTTGAAATGTTACCAGCTCCATACAGCTCCAACTGCACAAACTACGAAATACTTCCATGGGAACGGCTACACGACAAATCTTTGAGTCCAAGGGTAAACTGTGCATTTCATCATATCTTTTATTCATTTTAAAGAACCATGTAAAGCTCTTTCTGAGAAAGGAATTTCAAGACACCATTTTCCCTCAGCATTGATTATCTTCACTGCGTAATAAGTCTCGGAGAGAACTGATTTTCCACATTGTTGATGGGTCAATATTTAGTTGTGCCATTCTATCGTCATTTTTGCGAAAAATGGACATAAACCATTCCCACCCCTTTACAATTACTATTTCTATATAGTCACGATCAGTGGCGTATGCAAGGGAGGGGTTTAGGGGTTTAAACACCCCCCTTGAGCTCAGACAAAATGGCAAAAATAAAAATTTTAGTAGAAATTATGCGGGATATTATTTTTTAAGACTATATATTTTTATTTGCCTTATGCCTACTTTTTTTTCTCACTTTATTTCTCAGAATACTGAAAAAACATTTACTATAATAGGGTTGTACTTTTCTTTTGAAACCAAATTCACGTGATACTGTTACGGACTGGTTCCTTTCTGTTCTGCCAGTCGCGATAGTTTTCGAGACTGTCATTCGCAAGGTCTTTAAGCGATGATTCTGGAATCCTAGACGTTCTGTTGTCTTTGAGACAATTCGAGAATTTTGGAGATGCGGTAAAAAATTACATAAAAGGGGGAACGGAGTACAGTGGAGTTAGTTAGTCAGACAAAGAGTTATTTCTGCCGCTTGTCTTTCCGAGCTTGTCGCTAAATCTGTTTTGTTTTGTCTTAACAAAAATTCATTCAAAAGTTATTCTTATGAAATTCTTAAAAAGTTCATTCAATCGCCGAACCCGTCGTCGCCACTATTTCGACTAGTGAAAAAATCAGTAACAATACCATTGGAGATACTGTGCTCGTTGAAGTTATTCATTCCAGCTCGAAAC